GCGGAGGGCGCCCGCGCTGAGACAGTCCTAGAACCGCCGCGACTGCCGCCTAACCCTGACCTACGCACTGCAGGGCGTTTTCGGGCGAGCTGGGCGTCTTGCGACTGACTATTCTGTGATGAGCATAGCCGAGGAGCCTTTTAAGTTTTTTCAGACCAGATTAAAATTTCGCTTTTACGTCCAACCTGAGCAGAAACCCGCAGTGCTTCTGTCTCCTTCGAGCTCCTCGAGGGCCAGAGCTGCTGCAGAGAGGCGTGCGGTCGGGACGACCGCGCCGCTGCGGGCTCCGAGGGTTCCGAGGGGCGCGGGCCGCGCGGGGTGCTCCGGAGCCCTCTGCGCACAGTCGGCGGCTCCGCGTGCCCCCGGGGGAGCGCTGTCGCAGCCTGCAGCCGGCCGGGTTCATCACCAAAGCCGGCCCGGAGAACCGCGGGCCGGGAGAACGGACGCGCGGTTTCCTTCCCTCTGCAGGCTGCGCGGGCTGCGCGGGGGTCCTGCCTGCCCCGAGGCCCCCCGCGCGCACCTCTGCCCCTCCGCTTTCACGCCTGTGCCTCGCAGCCTTACTGGTGCCCTGTTCCGTTCCCTCGCCCTCCACCAAAGCTCCTTCCCTTTCCCTCACCTGTGCAGTCACAGGAGGCCGTCACTCTTAAAAACAGAAATTTCCTTATATACCACATCTGCATCTGCAAGCTTCCTTTTGCCTCATTTTAAAAGCAGCTTTACTGCTATATAAGGCACACACCGTAAAATTCACCCGCTAGTGTACACAGTTGTGAAACCAACAATCATTCACACCATCAGAAGAAGAAACCTGCTTGTAGACATTTCAGCCTTCGTTCTCGCAGCCTAGACAGCCCTAAGCGACCTTCTGCCTATGGATTTGCCTTTATAGACTTTTCCTACTAGTGCAGTCCTACAGGGTTGGGTCTTTGGGGTCTGGCTTCTCTCACTTAACGTAATTTTCTTTCTTAGGACTCCCATACTGTAGCCTGTAATGGTACCTCATTTTTCCTGCCAAATACTGTTCCGTTGATGTGTCGCATTTATTCATTCATTAGTTGGTAGACTATTATTTCTGTTTCACACTTGCTCTTAGCCAAAAGGCTGAGAAGCAATGAACTGTTACAGTTTTATGGATGTTAGGAAAAATATTACGAGGATCTATGTAGCTAAGATGTTTTGTTGACATGTTTCACAAGTGTATATACATAGGAGTATTACAGTGGCATTTACCAAATCTACAGATTCAATAATTCCCTATTAAAAGGGCAGCTGCTTTTGCAAATACAGAAAACCTCATCCTCTTGCAAGGAGCAATTTTATTTTTGTAACAGGGTCTCACTAAATGACCTCGCTGTCTCAGCTGGGCCCAAACTGGGGATCCTTCTGCTTCTGCCTTTCAGAGTTATTTTTATGCAAAAAAGAATAATCTATTACTTAAAAAACCCAGAAGTATGTCACCAAAAACATTGATTTGTGATTTTTTTTTTTCTGGTACTGGGAATCGAACTCACAACGTTGTGCTTGCCAGGCAGGCGCTGTGCCGCTAAGCTAAATCCCCAGCCCGATTTGTGATTTTTATATTCATAGATTAAGTTGTTCCTTTTGAGAGAGAGCTATTCTGCTTAGTCCTGGTTAACATTCTCTCCTCAAGCTCTTTGTTCCTTCCCCAGCTCCCAGGCCTCAGTCATGCTTTGCATCAAGCTCTCTAAACTCGGTCTCCACTCCTTATCTGTGAAGATGCCGTCGGAGAGCTCATCTATTAATAACTACTTCCTGGCATGCTTCCTGGCTCAGTGAAACTGTTAGCGGTAGCTGGCAACCTTGTATTCATTACTTTTTGAAAATATCTTTTAATGCCAATGAAATTACTGGATCTTAGGGGGGACATGTGATTTAAACTGGAAGCACAACTACTATATAGCATCTTAAGAAAACAGGGAGACATGGGTCTGGGAGCAGCATACATCTGCAAGTCTTTAAACAGAATGGCATTATTCTCATTAAAAGACCTTTAACTCATAAAAGAACCATCAGAACCTAAAAGAGCAGAATGAAATAATAGTTTATCAAGATAATCACGTTATATCCACCTGGCTACTATTTTATGAGATAGAGATGTCAGCGTCAGCACTCAAATCTGGTGAGATGACTGATAGAATCAGTAAAGCACACACTGTCAAAGAGGTGTTGGAATGTTAAGAAACAACAGAATCACTATGCAGTCAGTACACACAGAGCTGTCAGGAAGCCTAAGGCCTGGCGGTAGATGGCCAGATGGGTCACCTTCAACTTTAAGTCTTTCTTTAAAGCCAGAGAACTTTTCCATTGACAGGATTACAACAAAGTCCCTTTTGTGTGTCAACACTACCACAGAGAGGGGAAGCATGTGGATTTGTATGTAACCAAGATTACAGCACTGAAGAACATATGATGCAGGTTTAACACAGTCTCTCCAGAGTGGGAAGAAACCCGATACTGATTTAACTACGTATCGGTTCACCAGAGCATCCCCGGGGCAGCGCCTTTGTAACACACTGACTGTGCCAAGTGTCACTCTGGCAGGTGGCATTTCAACCAGCTGGTTTTCATGTTGAATAAGCTTGATACAAGTGTCGTTTTTATATTCCCTGTTATCTTATAAAAATTAATGAAAAATATGCAATTTTTGGTCATCCAGCATTTAAATAATTGGACTGGTGAGTGATAAAAAACTAATGCCCCCCCAGAAGATGCCAAACCTGGATAGTATCACTACAAACCCTGATAAACATCAGGTAATTTCTTTCAGTTCTGAAAAGTGTCTAAAAATTCTTAACTCCCCCACTGCATAGCCAAACAGGAACCCAGCAATACCAACATTAAGGATTGTAATTAAAACTTAGGTTGCAATAACTCACATCAACTTGCCTTAGAATTATTTCAGCACTATTTTTATATCCCATTGAAGGTAGTAATTACAACTATATAATTACAGCCCAAAATACCCATACCTGGAAGGTGGCCGGATCTGGCTCTGAGATCAGTTTCCCTCAGTTCAGGGAGCAGACACCATGCAGTATCACTCTGCGTGCCTGAAGTTGGGAGAATTCCACAAAGCCCTGAAAGTCTACAGGAACCGTGAGAAATCCGCAAGAGAGGCGGCTACCTTTTGAGGTCCAACATGCTCATTCCTGTCCACCTTAGGTTCTATTTCTGCCTGTCCTTGCAGAGAGAATATGTCTCCTCAGATAGGACTGCTTTCCTGGCCTTAGGGTGATTGTACTCCTCCAGGCCTTCCCTTTCCACCTTGCTTCTACTCCCTTTACACTGTATAATAAGCCTCCCGGGTTGTGAATTTTGATACCAATTATTTTTCATCCAGAAACCTGATGAGAGGAACATTTGTAGTGTAATAAAAGCTTCAGAATTTTTAGGTTAGCATTATTAAAAAAATTTTTGTCTTTGATTTGTATTTTCCTTGAGATCATAGAAAAATGGAATGGAAAAATGTAAAAGAAAGGGCAAAATAATTTAAGGAGAATCTGTCCCTACTTATGGGACACTTTTATTGCAGAATACAAGTCTCTGGCTTCAACTTGTACCTAGTAATTAGGTTGTTTGAAACTGCTCTCTCCTGTGGGAGGGA